CGCCGAACCCCTAACTTCGTATACGGACGGATATTCTGTATAAATGTTATATTGAGTAATAATCAACTCTTTGATGAAGTTTAGGACAATTTTCTCTCTCTCTATCTATCTATCTCTCTATCTATCTATCTATCTCTATCTACCTATCTATGTATTTATCTATCTACCTCTCTGTCTATCTTCAACAAAAATATCGAGTCACAGAATAGCCTTCATCGTCACGGTAAGAGACGCGAGTCTCCCGGACGGTTTCTCTTATTTTCCTCGCAGGTTCACGACTTATCTCGATAACTCAAATAACGGATCCAATTTCCCCGGCGTGGAATATTCCGGAAAAGCCCCGCGCGCGCGCGGGAAGATTTAATAAATCCTGCACGTCCTAATTCCATCGGATCCGGAGTCGAGTTCGCGTTAAGTTTGTCTCACGATCTCTCTCTCCTCCGACGCGCTCTCGACCCTCGTCCGCTAATAGCGACAAGTTACTTCTGACCCGTCAGCGGGGACAGACCCTTGCGACGCCTCTATTTTTAGTCCGGGTCGAACCACTAGAACGCGGCGAGAAAACCCAAAAGAAAGCAAGCGAGCGGGCGAGCGAGAGTGCAGTGCAGTGCAGCGCGCCACGTCGCGTCGAGAGGAGAGAAACGCCAGGATGAAGAAGAGCAAGGACTGCGCGTCTCTCGCGACTTCGATATATGTCGACGTCGAGAGAAAGGAAATCGGATCATGTCCTGCGAGGAGACGATTCTCCCACGACTTCTGGCTCGCAGCTGTGCCACAGAAACAATCATAAAAAAAGCAACCAGACGCTCTTACTCGTGGGTGGTGGAAACGGCCTATACATTCTAGCGCGTAAACCCTCATCTACGCTCACAGTGGTGGTCAAAAATGTAAAAATAAATGAAGGAAAAAACGAGAAAGATATACACACACACGCGAGGCGTCGTGACCTCCTGCCGTTTTTCCCTCGCCTACGGATTTTTTTAATCGTTCCGGAGGATCAAAGGGAGAAAGAGAGAGAGAGAAAGAGAGAGAGACAGAAAGTGAGGGTGAGAAAGAGGTCTCCCTCAGAGACCTTTGTAGCTGGAAAATATACCGCGGGGAAATATCTCCGAAAAATATGGGAATTCCCACGAATAAAATGTTACGCGAAATCTTATTGCTCGCTTCGTTTCGACCGCGTGCCACGACCCACCGGCGAATTTCATTTGGTCGGTTAATCGCAGGAACCGAATTCGAGCCGCGAGAAATATCGACGCCTCGAGAAATATCGGTTTGTGGCGAGCGCGCGCGTTTGCTCCGCGGTTTTTCGCGTCTCATGCTGTGCGCTCGGTCGTTCGCGCGGACGATTTTCGCCAGACGACACTCGTATCGGACGTTACGCGGTCGGGCACAGTAAAGAGAAAAAGTAAATAAACGAAAGCGTAATCTTACGAGCGCGAGCTGGACGCGCCACCGCACTCCGCGATATACGCCGAACGTTTTTGTTCCTATTTCTGGGGTTTAATTTCTGCCGCGGGGGACCTTCGCGCCGGCTAAGGATTTCGAAATAGAACTTACGTTTGCTCTCCGCGACCCTCAACGGTCGCGGAGGTCTGTTTCCCAGCCGCTAACGGTTAGCGTGTTATTCGAAGATACTCACTTCGTGCTTCGAACTTGTGATAATATTTAGATTCTTTCTTTCTCACGCGACTCTCACGAATGTCTCCCACTGAGAACGGTGGCCGTGACAAAGCGCGCGTGCCACGTTCAAATTCTACAAATTCTGGGGCGTCTCGCCGATTTTCCATCGCCGCGCTAATTAAAAGCCATATTCCCAAGTCCAAACTTCAGCCCTGTTTTCGACCTGGACCTTCCAACGTCCGTATATTCTGAAGGATTAGCGTATATTTAACGCGCATAAAAACTGAAGTCCTACATGGTTCCTCCGAATGACGAAAAAAGCACAAAATTTGTAGGTTATAAAAGCACCTCTTGTGAAAGTTAGTAGATTAAATGGAATAAAGAGAAGTTGAGATATATAATCTTCAAATGACCTTCGAATGACGAAAAAAGCACAAAATTTGTAGGTTATAAAAGCGCCTCTTGTGAAAGTTAGTAGATTAAATGGAATAAAGAGAAGTTGAGATATACAATCTTCAAATGACCTTCGAATGACGAAAAAAGCACAAAATTTGTAGGTTATAAAAGCGTCTCTTGTAAAAGTTAGTAGGTTAAATGGAATAAAGAGAAGTTGAGGTATACAATCTTCAAAATGTCACATAAAAATAGATATTAAATAGAATATTGAGATCGAGAGCAGGATCGAAATTTCCACTTGGGTTCAGCGAAGAAATAGATAATATTTATGTTTTTTCTCACGCAATTCTTGCGAATATTCCCAACTGAGGATACCCGAGACAAACGTGCTATGTTTGAATTATATAAATTCCGTTGCGTTTTATTGGTAGAACTCCTTTTTTCATTATCGCGATGATTAAAAGGTATATTTGAAGAAACTTATAGTAAAATTTATATTTATTATTAATTAATTAATTAATTTTATATTTTTCTTTGTCACACACACGACTTTCACGAATATTTTCAACTGAGAAAGATAGCCGAGACAAGCATGCTACGTTTGAATTGTACAAATTATACCTTTTAATCATCGCGATAATGAAAAAAGGAGTTCTACCAATAAAACGCAACGGAATTTATATAATTCAAACATAGCACGTTTGTCTCGGGTATCCTCAGTTGGGAATATTCGCAAGAATTGCGTGAGAAAAAACATAAATATTATCTATTTCTTCGCTGAACCCAAGTGGAAATTTCGATCCTGCTCTCGATCTCAATATTCTATTTAATATCTATTTTTATGATATTTTGAAGATTGTATACCTCTTACTGTAACTTTACTTGTAACTTCTCTTTATTCCATTTAACCTACTAACTTTTACAAGAGACGCTTTTATAACCTACAAATTTTGTGTTTTGTTGATCGATCTTTCCAATTTTTCATTATCGCGATGATTAAGAGACATATTCGCGGAAACCTGCGATAAAATTTATATTTCTTTTTATTGCACGACTTTGACGAATATTTCCGATTGAGAAGGATAGCCGAGACGAGCGTGCGAGTGTTCGAATGATAGAAATTCCGTTGCGTTTTATCGGTCGATTTTCCTGGCCAATTTTCCATCGCCGCGGCAATTAAAAGGCATATTCGCTCGACGAAGAGAAGAAGCTTTTCGGTTTTCCGCGCGAAATGTCGCGTCGTGCATCAAATGCGTCTATTACCCTGCACGCACAATGCGCAGTCATTTTGACGGCGCACTGCTGATGGCGCTTAACCGTAAATCGCGTGTTTCATTTTACTGTTCGGTCAACCGCGATTGATAACAATCAAATAACGACAGCAGTAGCAACTGCGAAAATTTAACTTCACGCAACCAGGAAATCACGTGATCCTTACACAAAATAAAAGAATATTCTTGTCTGAAGAATATCTTTACTGTTGACATGTTAAAAATAAGATTAATGTTAAAGTGAGATTATATATGGTGTTAAACGAAAATAAATTAGTCTCCAGTTCAAATGAATATAGTAAAATTAACACAATCAGTTTCTCATAAGCAAGAATATCAATATTGTTGGTTATAAGGTAAATATACCAATGCCCAGACATGTACCCATCTCCGGACAATGTTATTATTTTTATATTTGAATATGAATATTTCAACTTTTAACGTACAATACATACATATTGGTATACATACATTTAATATTTATATTTAGTGTACGTTGAAAGATAAAATATTTAGAGAAATATTCAAAATAATAAGAATGTCCGGAATTAAGTACATGTCCGGGCATTGGTACATTTATCTTATATGAGAAAATAATTGTGTTAATTTGACTATATTCGTCTTGATTGTAGACTAATAATATATAACCAAGAATACTAATATTGTATTATTTTATAAGAAAATGATTGTGTTTACATTAATGTAAATTTACATACATTAATTAATGTGTGTGTAAACAATTAATCTCATTTTTAAAATATCAATGATAAAAATATAAGAATAAAATACACAATAACAATATTATACAATATTAACAAATAACATTTACGAACAAGTTTATATAACAAAAATATTCTTGTTTTCTATGTAGTATCTTACATATTATACTCAAATGTCTGATCAGAAAAAAGTCAAAAAAAGAACGAGAAAACAGTTCAACGAGCAATATGTTGTGTTTTAATTGGCGATACGCGTCCCGTTTCGTAGGGCAAATATATTCGCGATCGATTGAACGTTCTGCTCTTGACAAGAACATCGCGGCCGTTATAGCACAGAGACTCTCGCCAAAAACAAATCCTTAAAAATGCGCCGGCCACTCGACGATATTTTCAACGTGGATTCTTGCCACTTCAGCTTACATGCCTCCTAAGACCGAGACACTTCGAGAACGAAATCTGCTTATCGAAACTGAAGCCTTAAAGCTATTGCGAGACGCTCGTCTGCCAGAACCGAACTAATCTGTTAAGAGCCGGTTGCACCGATGCCGCTTAGAGCCAACTTTCGTTAAGTAAATTTCTCCCCCGTCTATATTCGCGCCGTTATGGCTGTGTGTGCGAGTTTAATCTGAAAAAAAGCTAAGGCGCGCTAAGCCCGCCGCTTGCTCCTTGGGAATTACTGATGCGTCTCGTAATAGACGGCAATAGTCTGAGAAATTTAATCCCGAACGCGTCCGCGCGCAAAAACGAACGTCCTTGTGGACATATAAATTTTTCAGGAAGAATTTGTGTATAAAATGTATAAAATTAAAAGTCGTCTTTTGTGTGCGAATTTTGGGCCTGGCGCGCGCGCGTTTCTCTCTATTCCGGTCTTCCGGGCATTCGCCACCGGATTCGATTCGTTTCCCTCTCGAAGGTCGTCGTTACGTCGCGGAGATGTTTTGCCGTTCCCGGCTGAACTAGTGACCGCCTGTTTACGGCTTGAGAGATGACTTACCAGCAGTAACCGTCGACAGCAGTAACAAACAAACCGCCAAGCTCCTCATTTTCGCTGATGGATCTGCTCTGTCTCGCGCACCACTGCTCCGCGTCGGTCCTGTGCAGACAATCGTTCGGTTTTCCCGCCGTTTCGCGCCCGATCAGTCTGCGGTATCGCCGAGAAGTCGAGATCCCTCGTCTCTCGTTGCGTCTGACTTTGTCCCCTTTATTGGCTTTTCACGAGCTGTTGGGTCAAACAGATACACAGATTATAAGTCCAGTAGGAATGAATAGTTCACGTGGGAATAGAGTGTCATTGTTTGAACGTGACGTAAACAATTTCAACTTTACTCCCTGCTGAACGACCGCGAAAATATATCGAGACAAAACCCGAGTCGATATAGCGTCATTAATTGCGCTTTCGCGAGCCTTTCTCATCTCGAGATGAGCCGAGAACGACGAGGGTCTTGAAGGTCCTTATTAGTAGTCGTTGCTTGAGACTTGCCTCAGGTGAGACACTCAGATTTCAATTTAGAGTTGGACCTGAGTTTGTCAGCTGAATATCGAAACTCTGAATTCAGGTTTGAATATTTCACGTAGGATAAGTCTCAAGTGATGACTATTAATACGAACATAAGACGCATATCTTCCGCTTTCGTTATGTAATAATTGCAAGGCGACGAGACGATCGCTTTGCTTTCGCACGCACGCGTGCGTGTGCGGTAACGTTTATCTCGATTCGATGAGACACAAAGTGCCGGCACATTGTTCCACCCGCCCGTGGAATCCGATAGTGGAATCGCGTGAGCGAGAGAGAGAGAGAGAGAGAGAAGAACGAGCTGTTCGATTTTCATCGATCGTCTTTCGCGAAAGCGAGCGGAGACATGCGATTGATATACCACTGTCGTTGTGCCCGACGGCTCATCTCGCGATGATCGCCCGAGAGGAGGAGAGAGCACGATGTCAAGTACCACGCGGATGCTGTGACTGACGCCAGGAACAGTGCGGTTCGCCGGTCACGCTCGCACACCACGCAGCGTGCCACAGGACCAGTTCGAGGACCGAGTTGGACTGAGTACAAGAGCCCGTGTTCCGCGGGCTCTTAGCGGCTCTTGTGGTCTCTCACTCTCTCTCTCTCTCTCTCTCTCTTTCTCTCTTAGCCCTACCTAAGGTACCGTAAGTATATTATGGTACACACGCTACGACTCTCCGTTGCCCTCCTCTCTGGATAATGTTTTCTTCGTACGTTAGCCGACACACGCGTTTGCTAAGCTCATACATATGCTTCTTTCTCCCTCTCCCTTCTCTCTTTCTCTTTCTGTAAAAAAAGACAACGGTTTGCTCAGAGTACATATTTCATATTTGAAATTATAACATTTACGACATAAAAAATAACAAAAGTAAAGGACCGCCTAAAATTTTTTATAGATTTTGAAGTTACTGATAAGACTATTAGCAGACGATTATTTTTAATGATGTCGTTGATGATATCTCTAGTAATATATCTCTGATATTGTTTATTTAATACAATTGTTGATCTAATTTTAAATAAAACGGGAAAACCACTTTTTAGTATATTAACAAAATATGAGAGGTCCCTGGAATAAAATTGTCTGAGTTGAATTGTTCTTTCGGTCCATATTTGATGAAAAATAGGATATAATTATTTAAACCATGACATATAGTCGAACATTTATCTCTGATACTGTGTTGAGTTTGAATAATACTTTAATCTGCTGTTGTGATAGAAATTTTCGAATCAGTAACTGTTCTAGGATAGTTAGTAGTGTTTTCGTGAAACAGCTATTTGTATTTCTTTGTTCGATCGTTCGTGCTGTAACAGCTTCTTGTGTTGAACAGCTGTTTGTTGAAGCTAGACTAAATGTTATTGATTCTCTGTCCATATCCCCTTGAATTCCACTAATTTTATCATAGCTTGCGATTACAATTTGCCTCTCATATTTCTCTATTATAACGATAATTGTATTCAATTCCATTACTCTGCTAGAGTTATTTCCTTATAATTTAAATTCACCTAAATTCGATTTATTACTTCATATTCAATTTTCGTCATCACAATTTGGCATTTAACATATCTAGATATGCATTAAATCATTAATTTTTTCCTCCTTTAAAAGCATTCTAATAAATAAATTATAATAAATTCTGTTTCTCATGAACCCTTTTGTCTTATAACTTGCACCAATCATATCTATTTTACATTGCCATTTCCCACAAATTCTCCTTCTCTATTAAAATAATGTAAAACGATGTTTTCAACATGCTGACTATAAGATTACAAATAACTGTTTATGAGGTAGGAATAATACTTTACGAATATTTCTATCACTGAAGCAGCTAATTTGTTTTGTACATATTTAAATGATATAATCTTTTTCATTTTATACATTTTATGTTATTTATACTATATTATTATCTTTTAAATTTCTATCTATCTAAATATGATATTACTTTGTCATGCATACTACAGGATTTTTCCGTTTTCTCGTTAGGAAATATTACTTTTATTATTACCTATAGAAGAGTGAAATTCCGTTTCCGTTTCCGTTTTTGGAGCCTTGCTTCGTCGAAATTATATTAAAAAGATAAGCAAAGAACCGCTGTCACACTCGAAAGCATCACTCCAAAAATGGCACTCTCTAAAATACACGGTGATAATATGACTGTGTAAAAAAACTTTCTGTTAACACCTCGTTTGATTACTGTAGAATAGTGTTTAAAAGAGAGAAAAGTAATTTTAACATTTTTGAAGTGGTCTTCTATTATAATAGAAGTGGTCTTCTTATAATAGAATAAAGAGCATTCATTGTGTTCTACACTGCGTGAAAAAAATATTTAAAAGATAAAAAAATATTTATTCAGTAGGTACTAATATTTATTTAAATTCAAATTCTGTTTAAATAGAATCAATAATTGCTTCCGTAAAAAATTAAGGTTTTAAGAGAATATGTATTTCTTTAATTGCGAAATATTTTTTGTTAGTGTAAAAAAAATATATACATTAATATAAATAAATATGTTATTAACACCCATCGAAAAATTATTTTATATTCCTTAGGTATTTTCTCTTTCAATATAGCTGATTGCATATTAATTAACTCACAGAAATAAAACTCACAAAAAAAAACGCGAGGAAATATAATTTATAATAAAAAATAATTGATAACATAAATAATTTCGCAATATAAAATGCAAAACCAATCAATAAAACAATAGATAATGGAAAATAATTTTCGATGCAAATATACGAAGATAATGCCTAATGGTCAATAACGTCATAAAACTTTCAACTCGTCCGATTTTTCACGGACGGTAACCACCACTTTTTTTTTATTTATTTTTTTTTTATTTTTGAAGAGTCTCACACAGCCGAGGAAAAATGCGTTATCGGCGGAATTACATGTTTTTCACCGCACTTGGTTATTGAATCTCTCACGTTGCGTGGCCAGAAAAAAATACGCTCGCGTCTCGTTGGCGCGCGAAAATTTCGACCGACTCGTCGCACCCGTGCTCGTGTATCATCGAAGTGCAAATAACTGCAAAATACAGTGCCGTTAGCAATTACGCGACGGCCGCTTTTATTTCGTCTGCGAAACAAAAGGCGAGAGGTGCAGTAGATTTGTATCACCAGCGCATCGCGACACGGCTTTCGAATCCTCTGACTCTGGTGTCTGTTATTCCATTATGGCGGAAAGTAATTGATTTATGTGTAAATCGAAACGACCGTCTGTGTGAATATGTCTACATATATATGTACTTGTGCGTTTTATGTCATGTCCAAACATGTACAATCGGAGTTCTTTTGGTCACGGTTATATTAAATACGGTTAAATTTTGCGCCGTGCAACAAGATGGATTTACGAGACACGCGAAGCGCAGAAATCGGACGATTTGAGAGATTTATATTGGTGATTTATTCCAAAATTATAAATCCCCGATCGATGTGATTCATCCGAACCCGAATTATTTTAAAGATATCGCTTTATAACTTACAAATTCGAGGCAATTTCCTAATGATATGCTCGCGTTGCGGCCGATGCTTGCGCTGTGATGGTCTCTACACATCGCACGGAACGATTATAAAGCCTAGTGGCGCCATCGGGCGGCTGTGGAGACAACTTCGTCTTCCGCGGCATTTTCATTATAAACGCGGGAAATACAACTAGAAAATACAAACCTCTAAGCTGTTTGCCTCGAAACGAAAAATAAATATCAAGTTGCTTTATACAAGAAATTGCCAATCAATTATTGGTTTTACCACGAATATACATTACACGTTTAATAAAACAAAATTATACAAATTATGCACATGTGTGAGAGAGTACCAGAAATAAAATTTATTTCATATTATATATATATATATATATTTCGTTCATTTATTTCGTCAATCATTTTTTGTCGTGAAATTCATTTCCCAGCCGCTAATAAATATACAAGGCAGAAAATATTTAGTAGACTTGTCATGTGACTAATAGATAATTTATTTCAAGAATTTTTTCATAAATAAAGTTGTGTGATACAAAATTAATATCAGTCTTTCAAGATTTATATCGCTATAAAATCATGGATTGGATATAAGAACATTAGGATATAAAGGACATACATATTGTAACATCGTTAAATAAATTATTTATTCTTCCAATCTTTCTGCTAAATAAAACTAATTCTCTTATATATCAAACAAAAAGTACAAAAACAATTTAAATGACTAATAATGAGAAAGAACACATCTGAATAATTACATATCGCCACCTCTAAGACGAAGTACAAGGTGAAGCGTAGATTCTTTCTGAATGTTATAATCGGACAAGGTGCGTCCATCTTCGAGTTGTTTGCCCGCGAAGATTAACCTTTGTTGGTCAGGAGGAATACCTTCTTTGTCTTGGATTTTAGCCTTTACGTTCTCGATGGTGTCAGAAGCCTCGACTTCCAGTGTGATGGTCTTTCCTGTTAAAGTTTTAACGAAGATCTGCATACCACCTCGAAGTCTGAGTACCAGGTGGAGAGTGGATTCCTTTTGAATGTTGTAGTCGGACAAAGTGCGTCCGTCCTCGAGCTGCTTGCCGGCAAATATCAGTCTCTGTTGATCAGGAGGAATCCCTTCTTTGTCTTGAATTTTCGCCTTTACGTTCTCGATGGTGTCGGAGGCCTCGACCTCCAATGTAATGGTCTTCCCTGTCAAAGTCTTGACGAAGATCTGCATGCCGCCTCGAAGTCGAAGTACCAGATGGAGAGTAGATTCTTTCTGAATATTGTAGTCGGAGAGAGTACGGCCGTCTTCTAGTTGTTTACCAGCAAAGATCAATCTCTGCTGATCCGGAGGGATGCCTTCCTTATCTTGAATTTTGGCCTTGACATTCTCAATGGTGTCAGAGGCCTCGACCTCCAATGTGATGGTCTTCCCTGTCAAAGTCTTGACGAAGATTTGCATGCCGCCTCGAAGTCGAAGTACCAGATGGAGAGTAGATTCTTTCTGAATATTGTAATCGGAAAGGGTACGGCCGTCTTCTAGTTGTTTACCAGCAAAGATCAATCTCTGCTGATCCGGAGGGATGCCTTCCTTATCTTGAATTTTTGCTTTGACGTTCTCGATGGTGTCGGAGGCCTCGACTTCCAATGTAATGGTCTTCCCTGTCAAAGTCTTGACGAAGATTTGCATGCCGCCTCGAAGTCGAAGTACCAGATGGAGAGTAGATTCTTTCTGAATATTGTAGTCGGAGAGGGTGCGACCATCTTCTAGTTGTTTACCAGCAAAGATCAATCTCTGCTGATCCGGAGGGATGCCTTCCTTATCTTGAATTTTTGCTTTGACGTTCTCGATGGTGTCGGAGGCCTCGACTTCCAATGTAATGGTCTTCCCTGTCAAAGTCTTGACGAAGATTTGCATGCCGCCTCGAAGTCGAAGTACCAGATGGAGAGTAGATTCTTTCTGAATATTGTAGTCGGAGAGGGTGCGACCATCTTCTAGTTGTTTACCAGCAAAGATCAATCTCTGCTGATCCGGAGGGATGCCTTCCTTATCTTGAATTTTGGCCTTGACATTCTCAATGGTGTCAGAGGCCTCGACCTCCAATGTGATGGTCTTCCCTGTCAAAGTCTTGACGAATATTTGCATACCGCCACGAAGTCGAAGCACCAAATGGAGAGTGGACTCTTTTTGAATGTTGTAGTCGGACAGAGTGCGTCCGTCTTCCAGCTGCTTCCCCGCGAAGATCAGTCTTTGTTGATCAGGTGGAATGCCTTCCTTGTCTTGAATTTTTGCTTTGACATTTTCAATCGTGTCTGATGCCTCCACCTCCAAAGTGATCGTTTTTCCTGTCAAGGTTTTGACAAAAATCTGCATACCACCGCGTAAACGAAGAACCAAGTGCAGAGTTGATTCCTTTTGAATATTGTAGTCGGAGAGGGTGCGACCATCTTCGAGTTGTTTACCAGCAAAGATCAATCTCTGCTGATCCGGTGGGATTCCTTCCTTGTCCTGAATCTTGGCTTTGACATTCTCAATGGTGTCAGAGGCCTCGACCTCCAACGTGATGGTCTTTCCTGTCAAAGTCTTCACAAAGATCTGCATGCCGCCACGAAGTCGAAGCACCAGGTGAAGGGTGGATTCCTTTTGGATGTTATAGTCGGACAAAGTACGTCCGTCCTCGAGTTGCTTTCCAGCAAAGATGAGACGCTGCTGGTCGGGTGGGATCCCTTCTTTATCCTGAATCTTAGCCTTCACGTTTTCAATAGTGTCGGATGCCTCAACTTCAAGGGTTATAGTTTTCCCCGTCAATGTCTTCACAAAAATCTGCATGGTGCTCTGTAATAATATTTAACATTATTAACCATTGTTTCTTGCAAGGCATATTAAAAAGAGAGGGGAAGGACATGTCACATATGCTTGATGTGATTTATTATTCTATGAATATGAAAAAACTTGATAAAATGTGCATAGATTAATTATAGAAATATACTAATTAATAGCAAAAGTTTGTTAGAGTAAAATTAATAATAAGGCATCGTTGTATTAATAATTATAAAAGAAAGTAGATTCTCAGCTCTCAGCATGACACAATGAAATCAATAACGGCCATCTTGGCTTGCTTTTGCGCAGCAGATGTGATGAGTCATACAGTGATTCAGTTCAGTAATTCCGATTAGCAAGACAACGAAGAAGGGAAAATGCACTTTCGTGCATGTCTAATACCACACAGCTGTCGTATTAATCTTTGGTAGAACCATTGTTCTTTGTCTCCAAATCGTATATTACGTTCCCTTATATACCAGAGCGTGACAGTGACGAAAATGTCCGCCTAGCAACAGAGTCGACCAAGCGATTGACACATATTGCGTTCAGACGTTTACTTCGAGTCTCCAAAATTGCGTTTCACGACGCAATCTCGAAAAATAGTCGTATATCAAACGCAGGTTTGTACCGTCGTGAAACTTGGATATAAGATTGCGCAAGAAACAACAAATGAAAGGAACGATTAAACACAAACACGCAATATGATACGCAAATACGTCGACTAGTGTTGAAAATAGCTATGAATTCCGTTGGGTAAATAACGAATGAGTCTTACCTTTTGTGGTGAAAGCTTCTTGCTGCAAGAGATATCGTTGCTCGGGCAAGACTGATGAACAATGCGACGAATTCTCGAGATATCTGCTGCTTCGATGCTCACTGAACTAAGCCGCAGCGAGCCACCGTCGGCCTTATATCCTGATCCCCCAATTGCGTATTTCTGACGCAACGCCAGTGTTCGATTGGTCGGCTGCGTTAGCGTCGACCGCGCCGATTGGTCTGTCGCTGCGACGTCACGGGCATGACGTGCACTTCTTCTTCGTATCGACTGCGACACGCAGCGCACTCATGTTCTAGAACGTTTTATTTTCTAATTGCATGGAACATACAAGAATGTTCTACTATTCAGCAAGAAATCGATACCGTTGCAATCTCAATTTTCGAGGCCGTAGACGCGCGAAAATGAGAATTCGAGAAAACGAGATGCAACGTGTGGCATGCATGAGGTTGTCTTTCGCATATTTTTAGCATGACGAATTCATCAGGATTGTAACGGTATCGCGGACTGCGCTATTTATACGCGTCCTTTCTACGCTTTGTCAAAACATTTTCCTTTTTGTCTCTCCTATTTCCCGACTGCGTATTTGTTTGGGTGACGCATGTGGTTGTTTTCCTGCTACGCGATTTATTTAGAGATTTCGTATGAAATATTTTCATCTGCTATTTTCACATCGTTCTCATTTCGATCTTTTCTCCGCACATCAAAATAAATAAATGTCCGGAAATCCGATAGATATCTTAAAATATCAATTCAACTTCTACTCTTGTCAGAGTATTTTTAGACTGTATTTTGAAATTGACGTTCAATTGTCAGAACGTAGAAATAGGAAATCGGATTCGCCGAATCGCTGAGTCAACCATGACGACGTCATATTGACGTGAATATAAGCGACGCTAAAGTAGTATAGACGTCAAAATAAGACGATTATAAAAACAATGATGTTTAATAATATTCTTTTTGAAAGCGTGAATTCTACCTTATAATTTAGATGCCCGCAGATTGCAATGAAATTGCTTTTCACCGAGTTACTCAATATTGATGTAAAAGTGTTCTTTGATTAAAAATTAGAGAGTACAAACTAAAATAAAATTTATAAATCATCTCAATAGCATCGTGTTTGTCAAAGTCACAGTCCACTAAAGTTTGCTCATTTTTCATAAAAGCGTAAAGGAAGGGTGTAAAAAACATTTGTCTCATTGTTAAATAATACTACATAAAAAAAAAAGTGAAGGTTCGCCTGATTCATTAATTGAGTTGTACTACGACATCGTTTTTTTTTTTTTTTTTTAGGAATAAAGAGTGTACAAAAAGTATACGGGTCTAAGCCTATCCGATCCTTACATGATACAAATTCGAAAATAGTTTTCTTAGGAGTAATACAGTATTAGGAGTACTTAGGAGTATATACAGTATTAATAGAATGTAAGTTGTAACCTTAAATCTAGTAACAAGGTAAAGAAAACGCTATGGTTGATTTATCACCGAAGTTATTGACTAGATCAACTAAAGTATAACGGAAATAGAATTTTCGACGCCTTAATCTAGAATTTTTATAAAATATATGAATGTGAAAACAGAAATTATTTGTAGACCTGAGGTCTAGATGTTTGTATCTATGCTAGAGATAAAATTTGCCAGTAGTATATAACAAGTTAAATCTAGTGAGGTCAGAATCGATTGCAACGGCCAGGGAAGGGATATGAAAATAGATATCCCGTTTTTAATCAATTTACGTCTTTGTTCTTCGAAGCGAAGGCATTGCCAAATAATATGGTCGGGAGTTTCCATTATATTACAAATAGGGCAATTGGAAGAATCTACTATTCCGAATCTATGTAGAGATTCGTTCAATACTACGGCATCGACTCTTCAACATGGACGGTGGCGTCTCGTAACGGAGAATTCGGAATTAATATAACAGGTCTAGTCAAAAAGAAGCATGAGAGCGGTCACTAGTGCTGGGATTTTGTAACTCATTATTGGAGTTAACGACAGTTTCGTTATCGTTGCCCAACTTTTCTACGGTATACAAAAGTTGCCCAACGATAACGAAACTGTCGTTAACTCCAATAATGAGTTAAGGCTGGTTTATGATAGCCGTAATCCTTTTATATTGGAACCGTAAAAAATTGACCAATCACAGTCGATTATTCTTCTATAATTCGACTATGATTGGTCAATTTTTACGGTTCTGGCATAAGTTAACGGATTACGGCCATCATAAATCAGTCTTTACAGAATCCTAGCACAGGGGCCTTATTCCGTAACCACTTATCGACAATTGTCGGATCGGTAGACGTCGTTGCGCAGCTTTTCTACGGTATAAAAAAACTGCGCAACGACGTCTACTGATTCGACAATTGTCGAAATAGGGCCCTAGCCTAATTTCAGTGGCCAGAGCTAAGCGCATTTTCGAGACGCCATCTAACAAAGTGCGCCTTTACTTCGTTAGGTGCATTTTCGCGGTGTAACGATAAAATGCATCTGGTTCATGCCGTTGTTTTTTTGTACAATAATAGTAAGTTAAAAAAAGACAGCGTCCAATCGTTCTATTCTTTGATTTGTTCTTTTCAGCTGCACTGCTGAATTGATGCAATAAGTTAAAGTGAGACAAGTATATGTTTTCTCACTCTAACTTATTGCACCAGTTCAGTAGTGCAGCTGAAAAGAACAGATCACTTGTCTTAAGGCTCGTCTACAATTTCTGTAAGAATATGGCTGTAAGGCTGTAAGACGCGAAATGAATTATTTTCATTCGCTGACAGCTCACGTTACAGCCTTACAGCCATATTCTTATAGCTATTGTAGACAAACCTTTACAACTGATGAGCGGCTGCGCAACGTACGAAACAAACTAGCGGTGATATTATCGCAAAACTAGATCATCTCTCAACACTCGTCTTTCTCGCACTGCGTTTTCTGCGTAATTTTGTAAGGAAAAAAGATTTGGAAACTGGAAAATATAAAACAATAAATAATAGCTCGCGGCTATTATCACGATTGTCGAGCAGATATTATTATAATTATTATAAAAAAGTAATGATATTCGAATAACAAATGATAGTGATAATAATATCTGATCGACAATCATGTGATAACCGCAAGTGGATAACAAAGAGATAATGATGATCAAATAATAGATAATAGCAATACTGGATAACGGCTCTAACGGAAAGTCTAGGCTCAACAAAGGCTAAGTAAACACACCGGCGTAACGGCCAGCCCGGGCGGCTGACTGGCAGCGCGTCGAA